GTGAACTGAGGCCATCTACATTAATGATGGTTATAACTTGCATGCGTTGGCTTGTCAGTGCCATGCTAACCTCCTGCTGTTGGTTCCCCACTTCTCCCCTCTATTCAACTATCTGCCCTGTTTGGCAGTCCCCTTCTGTTGCTTTTCCTGGAGCTGTGGTCATCTTTATTTTTCTCTAGAATATCCTTCAGCACTCTCTATGGGGTTGGTTTGGCGATCATGAATTCCTTCAGTTGTTCTGATTCATGGAAGTATCTTATTTTTCCATTAATTTTGAAAGATAGATTTGCAGGGTATATCAAAGCACTGGGTTGGAAGTTGTTTTCTTTTAGGATTTTCAACTCTTCACACTCGACTTGATGGTTTGTGTTGCAAAGGCTACCATGATTCTGATGAATTTTCTTTTATAGATGATCTGCCTCTTTTATTTAACAGCCTTTCATACTGTGTTGTGAGGAATATCTGAGATGTTGATCATTACACTTCTGGGTGTAGACTTATTTTGGTTATGGGTAGTTGTAGTTGTATATACCTTGTTTATCTGCATACCAAGTCTTTTCCCATGTTTGGGAAGTTTTCTGCTCTTACATCTGTAAATAGTCTTTTTATGTTATTCATGTTGATGCTTACTTTTTTGCTGATACCTATCATTCTTAAAATTTTTTATTTGTGTTGTCTTGCAGCCATTGTATTATTGTTTCCTGGTTCCTTGTTATTTTTAAGAGATTTTTCCTTTCGCAATCACTAGCTGCAATCCAGACTTGAAGGTCTGAAAGTCTTTCTTCAATCTCTTTTGCCAGTTTTTGCTGGAAGTTTTTAATTTCTTTGAATCTGTTTTATGCATTATATTCCTTCCTATGTGTTCATTCAAAGTTTCCATCATTTTCCTATGCCCTCTTTTTTATTTGTGTCTTCTCAAGATATGTTCAGTAAATCTTTCACGTTGTGATTTCTTTACCTGAGTTATTATTTCTGATGTGACTACTTCTATAGCCTCATTATTTGATTCTTTATTTCCTCTGCTATCCTTTCAGAGATCTCAGGTATGTGATTTCCATTGTCTTCTATGACTGTATCTCCTCGACTTGTTCTGTGTGGACTGTACTTCTGAGATTGCCTTGTGCTACTTCACTTTGAAATTTTCCTGACTTCCTTCTGACAAGCTGGTTGTGGAGTCCAAGGCACTTCCCACATTGGGCACCCTCCATGGTGTAGAACAATGGACCAGCCACCTGGGTTTCTCTAAACCCTGGTTCCTGGGGAGGCAGTGGGGCACGGGTGTGCAGGGATTCCAGGCCCATGCAACTACACTGAGGCTTCCTTGATGGACATACGTGTGTGGCTGTGCTGCTGTTGCTTCTCTTGGCCTGTGTGGCTAAACTGGGACTCCTCTAGTGGTGACAGATACACAAGGTGTATCTGGCTGTTTCTCCCTCCACACACTGGTTGAAGGCAGAAAACAAGCAACCCTTTGGTGGGAGGAGCACAGAAGCATGTCTGCTGTTTCTCCCTGCTTGTTCTGGTTCCCTGAGGAAAGCAAGCATCCCAGTGGCAGCAGGTGTGTAGAGGGGGTCTGGCTGTCTCCATTTCCTGTTTCTTAATCAAATGAAGCTGACATAACCATAGTAATGGTGACAATATGTTTTTTTATGACGGTAGTTGCTGTCATTTAATCTATACCATATCTTTCTTTTTTGCTGCATATTAGCTATACAGAGTTGTGGGGGTTACATGTTGGCATGGGTTTACATGGGTATAACATATTTTGTCATTACTGTTCCCTTTTGTTCCTGAGTCTACTAAGCCCCAAATCTTTCTCTAATAGTATTTCTTACAGTTTCAGATCATCTCTTTCTCTTTATAAAATTATTTTACATTCTTCATGTGAGATATTTGATGTTGTGAATTGTGTTTATTTCACCCAATCTGTGGGCTCCTGTTTCATTTTTATGTAAATTACAAGGCACTTTTATGCAGCATTTTCAATTTCTTCTTTAAATCTCTTATAATTTTTCTTGTAGATTGTTGTCATTCCATATTTAGGCTTATTTCTAAGGTTTTTTATTATTTGAGGTAAATATTAATGATGTTATTTTGTCATTTTTCCTCAGAAATTTTTTTCATTAGGATTTAGAAAAGCTACTAATTCAGTTTATGTTGTTTGCCTTACCACTTTGTTGAATTCTTAGCAGACTTAAGCATCTTCAGTGGACTTTAAGGATCTTTTACTGAATGATCCCACTGTCTATAGAGATAACTTGTTTTTTACTCCTGTCCTGTTGGCACCCAATTGCTTTGCTTTTCTTGCCTAGTTGCTCGAAAATTTAAAGTCATATAATTGAAAAACATAGCAATTTGGACACCATTATCTATTTCCAAATTTTTAGGAAAAATATTTCAGTTTTTACCCTTTCAATATGACATGGGAAGGCAGTGAATTCAAATTTATTTAGACATTTTTTTCAGTCTGCCAAAGCATCAGATGATGCCTACCCAGAGGCAGCAAGACCTTGTGCTTTCTACAGGATTACATAATACAACAGCAAAAAAAAAAAAAAAAAAAAAAAAAAAAAAAACCAAGATATTGAGAAACATGAACAAAGAAGAAAATATTCATGACAATTCTAGTCCTCATTTTTCTACCCAGACTGGCATGAAACTCATAGTGATACTCCTTCTTCCACTGGGTTCTGAGATTATAGATGTGCACCAATACATATGGCTATTAGAAAAATTTAAAATCAAATCTCTCATACATACATTCTATAGGAAATTAAACTTAGAATTTTTAGCAAGCGTAAAGAATTGAGTTTCAAATTAACTATAGGGTTAAAATACATAATTATCCCCAAGCTTCTTAGCCTTTCAATTCTGTTGGTCTTTCTCTGATACTTGTACCTTTTCTCTGGTTTGTCTTTTCTAGTTACCCAGATGTGTCCTTTCCATTCTGTTCTAATTTCTCTTCTTTTTATTCTTTTCCCAACAAAATTTGCTGCTCCACTCCTCCTGTCCTTTTTCTCTTCTCCTTCCCTTTTATTCTAATTATAATGGAAATCATTGAAAATTTTTATAAACAAATCTATTTTGATTTGTAAATATGCCAGCTCTTCTTTCTTCAAGTCCCCTGCAGGGCTCACTCTTTGGCATTTCTTTGCTATTTACTTCTTGTTATTCTCTGTTTTTGATCCTGTACCCAAATGAAATATGCTCTCACTGAAGCCAAGAAAACTGTCTAGTTTTTATAATTAGTGATTTCTGTTCATCATTATCATACATTTATTTTAGGTTTTAGCACTGTACTTCACCATGTCCTTTTTTGCAGTATTTCCTCGATTTATGTCCCCATTATTCAACTTTCAAATTTTCTTTCGGATTCTCTGATTTCTCCGCATAGTGTTTTTTTGGTCTCTCTCTTGTCTGTCTTTTGTTTGAGCATGGACTCCAGGTTGCAAAAGGAAATTAATTTCTTGCATGGAATTTTGGTTCTTAAATAGAAAACTAGGCAGACTGAAGGAATCTGCTGTAAAAATGAGCACGCACAGAATAAAGGCAACTAGTCAACGGCCAAAATTTTTTTCCCAATACCAGCACAGTGAAGGATGCCATGATGGCTGGGGAAAGTTCGAATGTCAAAGCTCACTATCAGTTCCATTGTCTGGTGCAGTACATGTTTTCTGGAGTCTATTCTTGTCTTGATTTCAATTCCAAAATTCCCTTTTTTCTTTGCTCCTTTGATTCCTGCTTTCCACATTCCAAATCTCTGATGGACTGATTCAACTTGCCAAGCCTCAATTAAATCTCTTCACTTGATATTCAACAATGTGAAGCATTTAAGTTTCTAGTTTTTGAGAAACTGAGTCTCCATTTTCAGTGTTTACATGGAAGCAAAGGATACAAACTGTTGTCCACCTAAAATTGCACACACAAATTTTATAAAGTGTTTAATCGAACTTGTAAGTTTATTTCCTGTCTATTTTTGTTTTACTTTTAGCATAATTTTCTAGGTCCAATGCCTCCCATAATATTATGTTCATAAATAACAGTTACACCAGTAATTGCATCTCATCTGGATTTTCAAATGATGTTTCTTCCACATAACTGCCAAAGAATTTGGGTTCTCATTCTCATTTTACACCAGTAATTGCATCTCATCTGGATTTTCAAATGATGTTTCTTCCACATAACTGCCAAAGAATTTGGGTTCTCATTCTCATTTTAATTCATCATGCAATTCTACTTCTTTTATTGACCGCTCTCTGCACACTTAATACTTCATGCAATCCTATTGGCTCTACGTTCATTTTGAGTCAATTCTTTTGGTCCACTTAATGTTTTAATACTTTACAAGCATATGAATCATGCATCATATTTTACCAAGCCGTATTTCAAGCTTTCACTGTTGAACTACAGAATCTATTTCTATGAATTAGTAATAAAGTTCCCCCCAGGCAATCAAGATGGAATCTGATTTAACATCCCTAGATAATGAAAAGAAGTTCCTGATTATTGTCTCAGAATCCTGATTCCACTCATTTCATCCTCTACTATATTTTCTATAATAACAACTATTTAAAAACTATCTCACCAGTCATTATGCCTTAAGAGGTTCATCGTGCATGGCTATTGCTGGGAGACTAAAGCTTAATGTCTTTCACCTGCCTTTCAGTTTATTTGATACCCTCGGATCTCTTCCTTGAACCTGAATCCACTTGTCAATTTCAGAATCTTTCTAGTGTTCACATACATTTAACATGTACTTAGAAAAGCTCTTCATTATACCTCTATTCATTTCTGAAATTTCAGTAAACTCAAATAACTGTTTCATTTCTTCAGGTCTCTCCAAATGGTTTCTAGTAATTATAGTTCAATAGATAAAATCTAAAGAAGTCATTGTTATAAGTGTATAATTTTATTTGAAGTTTCCAAAAATTTTTGCCCTATAAATACTTCAACAGTATTATTTTCTTTGCATTTCATTTCTAGGGACATCCATTGCCAACATGGAAAATAACACTGCAGCATTGCTGACAGAGTTTGTCCTCACAGGGCTTCCATATCAACTGGAATGGCAGATTGCCCTCTTCCTGGTGTTCTTTGCAATATACCTCACCACGATTGTGGGAAACCTGGGGCTCATTGCTCTCATCTGGAATGACTCTCATCTTCATATACCCATGTACTTGTTTCTTGGGAATTTAGCATTTGTGAATACTTGGTTATCATCCACTGTGACACCAAAGATGCTGGTAAACTTGGTAGCTAAGAGCAAATTGATATCGCTCTCTGAATGCATGACAAAATTTTTTTCCTTTGCAACCAGTGCCACAATGGAATGTTTTCTCTTGGCAGCAATGGCTTATGATCACGACATTGCCATATGCAAGCCTTTACTTTATCTGGCTATTATGACCAATACACTATGTATCGATCTATTAATTTTATCATTTGTAGGTGGCTTTCTTAATTCTTTAACTCATAAAGGACTTTTATTCAGATTAACCTTCTGTAACTCCAATGTGATACATCACTTTTATTGTGACATTATACCATTGTTAAAAATTTCTTGTACAGATCCTTCCATTCATTATCTAATGCTTTTTATTTTGTCAGGCTCAATTCAGTTACTCACAATTGTGACTGTTATTGTCTCCTATACATTTGTTCTTTTTACAATTTTAAAAAAGAAGTATCTCAAAGGCACAAGGAAAGCTTTCTCCACCTGTGGATCTCATCTTCTCTCTGTGTCTTAATATTATGGTAGTCTTGTCTTCATGTATATGCATCCTGCGTCTTCACAAGCAGATGGACAAGATATGATGGACTCTTTATTTTACACTGTCATAATTCCTGTGTTAAATCCAGTCATCTACAGCCTGTGAAATAAGAAAGTAATAGATTCTCTAACAAAAGCATCAAGGAGAAATGTTTAGATTTTATACTACAGTATATTTTCCTTAAAATAGTTAGAAATTCATGCAAGTTAGGTTCAGTTAACTTTTGGTACATGTTACCTTATTTAGCAATTACAGCAATCATAGTTTAAGTTATTAGTATCTGATAAACTACATTAAAGATTTGTATCTGTCATTCCGGATCATATAAGGAAGTTTAATTAGGTGTTTAAACTATGATGAATAAAAGAGGAAAACAAAAACATTTTGCAGACTCGTACGCTCTTCCATGTGATTTTACAAATGAATTTAGTGCTACGACTGTGTACGTCCTCTAATCATGACTTAAGTATGGTATTAAGTATGCAATATCATTAAGTATGCAATATCAATGCAAGTATATATGTTGGAGACTTACATCATGCTTGTTCCATGGTGGTAGCAGGTTTGTGTTCGAACAGGAAAATCTCATGAATTCTCTTGTCCATTGAAAGGTTGTTTATTCTCCTTGATCAGGAAATGGTGGGTTTCACTTTTGTAAGAATTCTACATATATATCACACTGAGAAATGAACAGAAATGGTAAGAATAAATAACAATAAGGAAGAAATTATAAATTGGGGCAGCAACAAATAATTAGAAGAGAGTCAGGGGTTTAGCTCAGCAATGTGGCAAGTGTGAGGTTGTGAGTTCAATCCCTGGTACAAAAAAAAGAAAAGAAAAGAAGATTAGAGTATACTTTAGTTCATTGTGTTCCAATCAGTAAGAAGAGAAAAGTTGTCTTTCCCTGACTATTAAGAATCTTTTGTTTCCAAGGATATGTTTTTATGTTGTTGGTTAATCTTAAAATCTTCATTAGCTTGGAAAGGTAACAGATTACATCGAAGATTAAATTTTGAGGATCTAGACAAGGAAAGTGACAGAATAGAAAGGAAATTGTCTCAGCCGTCTATGAATTTAAAAATTGAATTAGTAAAATACAAAAATTCATTAAATTTAAAGTTTGCGAAATATGAACTTTCCAATGACAAACTTTAACTTTGTATTACAAAAGTTAAAACAATGCTATTATGATAAGATCTCAAACTGTGCAGTGGGCGGTTGGAGACAGCGTGAAAATGAAAGAGTCAGAATGTTTTGTCCCTTGAAACTGGAGCAAACTAATTCTATAGTCTTCAAGTACAATAAATTATTCATTTTAGATCACCCCTGCATTTTCTCCCTCAATAATGAAATATTATAATCTCTATCTTTATTGCCTTTAAAACAGATTAACCACATATTTTTACTCTAAATTTTATTTTAAACAATCATTCAATCATATTTATTCTGATTTACTGATCACGCAGACATAATATTGATCAGAACCCATTAACTCATCCAAAGTATTGGGTCTAAGTGGCTGAACAAACAGGTGCTCAAACTTCTGTATGATGACAGTATTTTTATCAGTACTGTGCTGCTGAGATAATTCATAAACAGCTTATGGCAATGTGGCTGTCTAATTTTGGATGGTTCCTCCATATGTTACAGAAAATACTTTAAAAGGCATAAATTTGCTTTTCCTGTGTTTACTGTCTTGTGAACTCCGTATGAAACCTCTGATGCTAGGTTGGAGAGAAAAGCAAATACAGCGAGATTGGAAATCGTGGAAATTTGAGCCACTCGTGCATGTACCTTTACTTTTGCCACAGAACCTGTCTAGGTCCAACCTCTTTAACACACTTCTTTTGATGACACTGTCCTGCTTTACATGGTCACCTTAATGTTTTGTGTGTCTGATAATACAGAGTTCACAAGGGGTGGCTCCAAGTGCATGATGGCGTGTTTGACCTCAGTCAAATGCTTGGCCTCCACAAAGACCCCATAGCAAGCTAAGAACTGCTTATCCAAAGGAGAATACTTGTCTTCAGAAGGTACAAAGCTTTGCTTCAAATTCTAAAGATTTAGCCTGCAAGTCACCTGTGGAGAACTTCTCTAGGCTTGCTAGCCCGAGATACAGCAACTAGACCTAATAATAAAGCTTCCTTCGGGATTCAGCTCTAAAAAGTCAAGATTTGGATCACTGCATCAATGGGCCAATGAACTCATATAAGAAAATGAGGCTTCTGTGATATAAAAAGGCCCACATGTATATGCCTTGTTTTGAGTTGGAAAAGGAACCATATGCAAAATCTTATCCATAACCTTAGAAGAGATATATCAACATATCCCACATCAGTGGACCTTGATAATTTTACTGTTATAGAAGGTTACTGGATATGTTTCAACTCCTCTGGTATGCAAATATAATGGATGCTTATATCAGTACACAGAATCCAAACAACTTAACATCATCAGTGTAGGGGCCAGTATGATTTTGTGGAAAGGAAAGGTGGTCATGATCCTGAAAATATTTGCAAATCGTAATTGGATAAAATATTTATCTCCAGATTATTAAGAATCCTTTATCAAAATAAAAAGAAAACTAATGAATTTAAAAACTGACAAAAGATTTGAACAGAGATTTCATTAAAAAAAGATATACAGGGGCTGGGGATTTAGCTCAGTGGCATAAGCTCCTGCCTTGTAAGCAGGCAGTCGTGAGTTCGGTCCCTGGTGCCGATAAAAAGGAAAAAGACAAAAAAAAAAAAAAAAAAAAAAAAAAGATATACAGATATCAAATAAAGACATTAAAAGAGATGGGTGGTTTTCAAGTAGGTGAAATTAGATGGCAGAATAGGATTCTTAGTCATCATTCCCATACAGAAACAGTAATTTGAACAATCATACACATGAAGATACCTTCACAAGAGATAAACAAATAGTTCAGAAATCACAGAATCTGATGATAAGAATAGGAAGACTCACTGAAGCCAATAGGATGAGCTTTACATCATCAGTGTGGCCCCGCCCTCAAATCCAGGCAGCACAGCATGGAGACAGATAATGTCTGCTTGGGGGAAAGAGAAGGAAACAAGCATAGTATTTTGCATGGAATCCCAGGATAAGGTCAATCACTGTAAAACTCTGGACTGGAAAGACACAGTTCATAAACACAAGCAAATCCTTGTGAACTGAGGCTCTAGATTTACCCTGGTACCAGATGGGACACATGCACCCTGTGAGATGGATATGATTTTATACCTACATCACTGAAGAATGACTGCATTGGTCTCAGATTCTGAAAAAATCTGAGTGGCAGTGAGGCCTCGGTAATTATGGGCTTGAGTTACCCCAATCATATGCCAGCCTTAGCAGGCATGTGACTCCAGTCTGATCCTCAAAGGCTATGTGCTCCAGCTGAGCTGTACAACCTGGAAAGGAATACACACCATTGCTGACAAAGTTTATTTACATAGAACTCCAGTATCCACAGTGGCAAATTCCCAAGTTCTTGCTCTCCTTGATGATATACATTAATACCGTCTTGGGAGCATTTGGTATTACTGTTTTTATCTAGAAAAAGTGTCTGTCTGGGTAACTTTTCTCTCATTACTGGGACAAAACACCTGACACTCAAAATGAAGGAAGGGAGGGTTTAAATATTTAGCTCACTATTTGTGCAGGTTTCAGTCCATCATGTGCTGGCTCCAAGGCAGGGTGGCATGGCATTGGGGTACCTCTTCAAGGCAGCAGCCAGAGCCAAAAGGGGAGAGAGCAAGCCTCTTTTTCTCCCTTGTATTGTATCCAACCACCCCAACCCTCACTTCCCTACCCCCACCCCGCCTCAGGGCCCTGCTGCACTCACAAAATCCCCTTGCCCTCCTGTTGCACAGGATGAGGATATTTACAAAGTAAGGAGCCTGGCTCCCTGCTGTGTCTCTCAGTTAAACTTCTAAACTGCTCAAGTTGACACATTTGTATCAACCAAAAGAGTGTCTAATGAGGGCCTTTAAACGGCCCAAAAATGAATAAACATTTTAATGTTTTATGACTCAAAATTCTTTGCAGGCTGGCTTTCATTGTACTTCATAGTCTTTAAATGTACTGAGAGCTCATTTTCATGTCACCTTTGATATGAAAACCAACACTGAAATTCCATACACATCCCTTTGCTGCTGAATTCCTAATGAACTCCTCAATCAAAAGCATACTCATGTGTGTGTTTCACAATCTTTAGTCATTTATCTACCTCATCCTGATGGTACTTTGTTACCAAGAATTATTGTCAGACGGTTCTGCACTTAATGAATTCCAATTAAATCATTTACGTCCTCAATATATTTCATAGCTGTCTTTACCACCAGATTGTCTGAAAATATGATATATACATACATATGTATATCTCTATCATCTATCATATCTATCATCCAATTGTCATCTATATATCATCATCTTCTTTAATCTACTCAGTTGACTTACCTTATTTAATGTCCTTTCTACAAAGCCTTTGGTTTAACTGATTTTTTCCCTCGTCCCATTCTTCTAATACAACATATTTATAAATAAATGAATTACTGAAAGGCCATTCTTTCAAGTACTTGCCTTTGCTCAGACAGACATCTTTACGGAGAATTCCCTTGCTCCCCTCCAGCTACCCTTTTTATTTATAATTGAAATGATACTCTTTTTAAACGTCTTTCCAGCTGTTACAGTTTCCATAGAGCACTTCAAAATTTTTCAATAAGAATAGAAGACTATCTCATTTGAAGCAGTTTTTGGCTCCTTGACCACATTTAGCCACAAGTAGTACTGATTTTTTTATTTTTAAATTACAAATTAATCCAAATGTTATTTTACCTTTCACACTGAAGAGCACAGTGGCTGACACACATGAAGCTCTAGATAATTATTTCTGAAATATCTGTAGACTTTAATGAAGGTGACAACATGAATACACAGAGAACACAAGAGAACATCGCTCTTTTTGAAACCTGAATAAACCATGGGAGGTTCCTGGGGCTCAGGTGGCTACCGCACAACAGCTCCACTTGTTTCCCTCACAAGCAGAGGGTCACGTATCTCAGCGACAGTCCCAGAACAGGGAGTAAAGACACCAAAATCCAGCCACCCTTACTTATTTGCTGTACAAGATACTTGCTATCACAACTGTCCAT